GATTCATTGTCAAGGCTACTACCTCTCGGTTAGAAGAATCGGATGAAAGTGATGACCAGATAGAGGAAGAAGAAGAAGAAGAAGAAGAAGAAGAAAAAGGTGGACATCCTATGGAGACTAATGATTGATATGATAGTGGGTGGCTAAACCAATCACCTCACTTGGCGCATGATGATGACCAAGGGTGGGGTGCCTTGGAAAATATTGGCTAGTCGTCGTTAGGTGCCAACTACATGCCACACAAAAATTGGGATCATCAAGACACCCCTGACTGGAGCTATGTGCCTCCGTCTCCTCCGCGTCCCCAACAAAATTCTGATGAACTCCTCGATATGATGAGGACCATGCAGCTTGAGCAACGTTCCTTCATGACTGTCCAGGATGAGCAGTTCTCGCAATTGCATAACCAATTTCAAGCTCACACGGAAAATTTTAATACTTTTTCATCAGCTGTAATGGGAAGGATAAATGGGATAGTTGAAACTGCAGCAGGTCAACATCGGGCCCTTACCACCAGCTTCAACACACTCAATCGAGCGGTACTGGAGTACATGGAAAGAGTTGATGCGCAACTGCCTCCGGAATATCCCTTTCGTGGACGCGACCATCACGTTAGGGGGAGGAGACCCTGAGGATGTCTTGCATATTTCATTTTGCATCTTAAGTCATCATGTGTTCATTAACATTTATTGTAAAATGGTTTATGTACTTAATTGCATTTGAAGACATGCTTATTGATAATTCTAAAATAGTGATTATTATTGTTCTATTAAGCGTTGATCTATTTATCCATTTATACGTTTTCACTAACTGTATTATATGTGAATGTGTGTTAATGTGTAACCTATTGCAAATGGATGGAAATTGCTTATCTCTTTTTTTTTTATGCAATTCATTGACATCTAGCTTCTTTCTTTTTGATGCTGTCAAAGGGGGAAAAGAATATCAAGCAGAAACATCATATGTGAAGACTTATTATACATGCAGATTGTGTACAGACGAAGACATCAAGTAAGGGGGAGGATGATACAATGCATTTTACATCAAGTAAGGGGGGAGGATGATACAATGCATCGTACATCAAGTTTCTATCGTTTTTCCATCATCAAAAAGGGGGAGTATGTGAGGGCAATCCTAATAGGTAGCTACACTTGTTTTAATGATGTCAAAACTTAGATTGATAGAAAAATGTACTTTGGACGGTATCATTGTGCCACATATGCATATCTTATCCCTCGTGAGTCAAACATTCGTCAAAAACATTATTGATACATATAGAAATTGCTAAATCTATGCTTCATGTAGGGTCGGTCAAGCTTACTATGTAATAGAGTACCTAAAAAGTGGCTTGATACATGAAAATAGGCATTTTTTGCATATTTCAGGGCTTTGAGTCGACTCAAACCTTGTTCCGGTCGACTCATACAAATATTTTTTTTGAATGGTATACTCTTATGAGTGTCCGCGTCGACCCTCCGGTCGACTCATACTGTGTCCATTTCTATTTGTCTAAATCTACATGCTTTGCATCGACGCATGACCTGCTCTGGTCGACGCAAAGTTCTGTTTTTTGCACAATCAATAATTCGGGTAAGCTCAGGTCGACCCCCCTTCTGCATAGATCGACCGCTCGTGTATGTTCAGTTAAAAATCTGTTATGTGAAACTGTCTTTGTGTCTGTTATGTTTGTTAATCAGTTTTGTCTTGCATATAAAGTGAGTTTTGCTCTTCCTTTTACACACACTTGAAAAACAAGAAAAGTGAAAATAACATACTGATTTGTTCTCATCATCTTCATCCTCTTCCTTGCATTTTCTCAACAACTACACATAATTATTTTTGTTGTGCATTCTGCTTGTTAGAGGTGATAACGTCCAAACATAGGATTGGTGTAATCGGGTTTGGGTTGAGAAATCAGTAGGTTTTTCTTGAATAAAACCCTTAGGGTTTTGTTCTCCAAGAATCTTGGATTTTGGGGGTTTTTACATGAATCGGTCCATCACAGATACAGGCGAGCGAAGGTAATCGTAGAACAGGTTTTTCTGTCGGTTTAGTAGCGGTAACCAGAGGATTGTGAGAGGAAGATTCGGGTTCGACATGTTGGTGATTGAAATCAGTCGGGCAAGATTTGAAGACCGTGGGGTTGTTCAAAGGGAGTGTCGTAGTCGGAGGTTTATTCACCACGTTCGAAGGACTTGATTCAGCTTGAATCAAAGGAAGAGAAGAAATAGGCTCTGCATCAACAATTGTGTTTGATCGTTTGATTTCTATTTGCTTCTCATGTAAACATTGGCCAACAGGTTATATCTATATACAGGTCTCAATTCTATTTTTAGAATTGAGAACAGGTGTACCCCGAGCGAGGATGACTGGGAACTGCCTCAACAAATCGGTGTTCTCTCTTTATTTTTAAATTGCTTACATTCTGAGTTTGAGTGCAAACAATTGTGTTAATCAAAATTCCGACGTGAGTAGTGCTGAACCATTTTTTAAAGCTTATTACAATCCTTGATTGTAATAGAACACTTGAGCACTTTACTCTCATATTGGAATTCACTTGCAGTGTCTTGCACTCCAAGTGTTTGACCAATTGTGTGAACTACAAACAATTGTGTTGTCTTTTCAAATTGTCTATATTTTTAAAGCATTTGAAATAGTCAAATCTTATAGTGAATAAAAGCTGATTGAAGTGTGATCAAATTAGTGATTCTTATCGAATTCCATAGGCTTTGCGCATATCTGATTTTTTCGGTAAAGGTTCGTTTTAGATTAATATAGTTCCTCAGTCGGTTCCGCCTAAAACAATTTTAAAAACTAAATACTGATAGCGCCGACTCTACTTTTAACAAGTGATCTATTCAACCCACCTTTTAGATCTGCGCCATCGTCTAACATTTATTGTGTGGGAGAGTAAAAGAGATATAGAATAACAAACATTAAGTTAGTGTTTGTTTGAGATAGTTAGTAGTAAGGGATGTTAGTGTTTGTTAGAGATAGTTATAAGTTTGTTGGGAGTAAGATCACTTGTATAACAAACTCTATGATTTTTCTACTCACTATATATTAAGTGAGATGTAATTAGTTCAAATAATGAAATGAAATCATTCACACTCAATTTCTTAGTCTTGAAAAAAGGAAACTAGCTATGTGACAGAATAGTTTGAAACTATAAATTATAAATAGAAATACAAACTCAATATTCACTTGTTGCTTTTTAGAATAGAACTTACAAACTACACCTCAATTGAAAAATGAGAAGGAAAAAAAAAGCAATTCAGTGTAAAAAAAAAAAAATCATAATGGGGAGAGTAATTGAAAATTTATAAAAACAAAGACATAACTTATTTATCAAACCTGAAATTAAAATTCACGCCAGTCTAACTAGTAAATAAATGCTTATGATCAACATATCATGATAGTTTGGTAATAAATAGGGCTGGCAATGAACCGAACCAACTCGAAAATAGTTCGAAATTCGATTCGACAATTAGATCGTTGAACTAGGTTCATGAACCTAATGAGTTGAGTATGAGCGAAAAATTAAGTTCGTTAACTAAATGAGCTGAACTTGAACTCTACATAGTTCGACTCGTTAGGTTCATGAGTCAACTCGATTACATATGAGAATAATTATACTGTCTTGAAGATTAGGTTTAAATATTTAATCTAAATCTTAGACAAATTTAATCTTCAACTTAGTAGTTTTTGAATTAGACTCTCAAATGTATCTCTTGAAAGTTGTGTAAGTTTTGAATTAGTAGATTTCGAAGATAAAGTTAAATTTCAATATGATAATTTTTATTTTATTTTAATATTTTATTTTTAAAAAATATATATTTAAAATGTCAAATATACTAAAAAATATATATATTTAAAAAAAATAGTTTTTAAGCCCGTGAATCATGTGAGCTGATCCTAATGAGTTGAACCAAACTGTTCGTGAACTTATAACAAGTCGAGTTTGAGCTTTAAAAAAAGTTCGTGTTGAACTCGAACTCGAACTCGAACTCGAAACAATTCTTAACGAGTCGAGTTTGAGCTTAAAAAAAAGTTCGTGTTGAACTCGAACTCGAACTCGAACTCGAACTCGAAAAATTCTTAACGAGTCGAGTCGAGCTGAGGTGAGTTCGACTCGACTCGACTCATTTCCAGCCCTAGTAATAAATAAATAAAATATAGCATGATAATTTAGAGAAATTGAGAAAAGAGTTGCCGAAGTCAAAAACAAAACAAATTTAAGCATATAAATAAAGGATTGAATAAAACATTATGCAACTCCTCCGTTCAGTTTGTCCAAAGAAAACTGTGTTAAGCATATAATTGCAATTTAAATTGGTCAGATTTCATTTAATACATAATACAATGTTAAAATAGAGTTGTACGTATGTATCTACAACCCATTCTATGTTGCAATTGGCATAATCAACGACATGCACAGCTGCCACTTTCTGTTCCTGCTGTACGCAGCACGCTTTGTTTTTAGAATTCAACTTCATCAGATAAAAGAAGCCACTTATACTAATCATATTGATGCTGCCTGAAAATCATAAATCTTCTGTGACAATTTAGGAAATTAAGGTACACTTATAATTAAAAAATTACACTAGATACGCAGCATGTCACATTTGGAGAGAGCCGAAATTGAATTCTGTAATTCTACCAGAGATTCCACCACGACCACATTCATTCTCCATACTTTCACTGCTCCCAGCTAGGCGCCTGTAATGTGGTAATCTGTTACATACTGTTGAAAATTGTCATAACTGAAGGCCGTGAAGCTGGAAATTATGGACCTGGATTGCCTGCAGTTGTAACTTGCAGTCCACTGCAGTCAAGCAGTTGGGTGAATGCCCACACCATTTGGGTGAGATTGAAAACCCCGTATCATAAATATGACAATTTGGTTTTAAACATTTGATTATTATCGGTGGTCATGATCTCCCCACTCTAAATTCACTTTTTGACGGCGGGGAGTCAATTACAGAAAATTGCATACTACATTATCGAGTTCCCAATATATCATCCAAAATGCGGATTGGTCCTATATGACCCAAGTTATTAAAGAAGCCTCGAACCAACACATTCCAAGTGGCAATATTGGGAAAGATTCCTTTATTCAACATTTCATGAAGATATACACTAGCCTCTTCGGTGCCTAACCAATTACAGATACCCCACAAAATAATAGTATGTGTTATTATGTCTGCACAAAATTTCTTTTCAGCTGTCATAGTATCCAAAACCTTGATAGCTGTTCTAACCTTACCCAACTTACAATATGCATTAATAGCTATGTTCACCGTAATGTCATCTGGCTTTACTCCATTTACCAACATTTTCCCCAAAAGCTGCAAAACTTGTTGATGCATTCCTTGAAAAGATAAACCATACATGATAGTGTTGTAAGTGACACAATTCAACTCCACATTCCTTTCTTCCAACTCTCTTATAAGTTCACAAGCCTCTCTGAATGCGCTCGCCTTAAAGAGACCATCCAATAACTCATTATATGTTCTGATATTAGGAAAACATTCATATTTCTCCATCTGATCAAGCACACTCATCGCCCATTCTACTCTTCCGCCACGACATAAGCCCTTGATAAAGTTGTTGAATGTAACAACAGTTGGAGGACAACCATCGGAAATCATATTATCAATAAGATCAAAAGCTTGATCGAACATAGACATCTGACAAAGGATATCCACCATGCAGGTGTACGCCACAACGTTTGGACGACAACCACGATTTATCATCTTGTTCCATATTTCACAAGCGCTAATCAAATCCCCCGATTTCGCAAAGCCGTGAATGATAGTGCTATATGTGGTCACGTTTGGACAGACAAAATCTTTCTCCATATGATTCCATACTGATACTACCTCGTCCATCCTTCCATTGGAGCAAAGACCGTGTATAAGAGTGTTGTACGAGACTACATTTGGCTTAACTCCCTCTCGAATCATGAGATTCCAGAAACCAAGAGCCTCACCGAGTCTCCCTTGCACAAAATAACCTTTTATCAAAGAAGTAAATGTATGAACATTAGCACTGCATCCTCTCACAAACATTTGCGCAAACACTGCAAGCGACAAGTCAACGTTCCCCATATCAGAAAGGCAACTAATAACCGTCGAGTAACTAATAACATTTGGGTCAACCCCTTTATCCACCATCTGATTCATCAAATCAAACGCCTCCTTAATCCTATATCCCTTGCACACTCCATGAATCAAAGCATTATAAACCGGCACCACGGGTTCAAATCTCATAGCTAGCTCTTTCGCTTTATCCACTTCACCCGATTTACACATAGACGAGATTATAGTCGTGTAGCTAATATCATCAGGAGGACAACCCTTATTAGACATTTCCTCAAGCAGCTTGCATGCACCATCAACCTTCCCATTTTTACATAGCGCCTTAAGAAGAATATTATACGTAAAAACATTTGGTTCCAATCCTTCACCTTTCATGTTATTATAAAGAGGACTAATCATCTTAAACAGTTTTTCACCAAGCAAAGCATCCAAAAGATGATTATATATCTTAACACTAGGCTTACACCCAAATTCCCTAATCCTATAAAACATTTTCAAACCTTGTTCACCCAACCTTGCTCTTCTATACGAATCCATCACACAAATGAACAACTCTTCAGAACAAGGTACACTTTCTACCTTCATCTGTTGCAGAAGATACTGAACAGCATCCATTTCATTGTTTCTTCCAAGCTTTTCAATCATGATTTTGTATGTTGAATGGGTGTGTTTGAAAGTTCCTGAATTTGCTAAGGATGTGAAGTATTCAAGTGATGAAACAATGTCAGGTTCATGTTTCAGTACTTGTAAAACTTGGGATTCTGGAATTGGAGAGGGATTGAGGCTGGGTTTGTCAGGATTTGAAATTGGGTTTGTGGTTAGAACAAATGGGATTGGCGATTTGCGAAGTTTCAATAGTAAGGAACAACCATCTCTCAAATACATTGCCATGTTTCAGTGAAAATTAAAAGTTTAAACTTGAAACCGTGACGTTGTTTGTATCAGAAAGGAAAAGAAATAATTCTAATGCAAAAGTGTGATATAATTTTAATTTTATATTGTCGTACAATAAAATATTATCAATTTTATTCGTGTCATCATATAATTCTACAAATTATTCTACTAAATTTTCTTCCAAATTCTCATTCTCTCCATTATTTATTAATAATTAAATAATTAATTAGATAATATAATAATACATTTATAAGTTAATTAATTCCTACCATTTATATTTTTCTTAACAATTCATATTATTTCTAACTGGGATGACAATAGTAGGATTTGGTCAAGATATTATAGTACGTATTCTTATACTTGCACTTTAAAAAAAAATCCGTCTTCGAACTCATACCCGCATGAACACTAACATTTATATGCGTACCTGTATCATATAGGTAGTTAAGTATTTATATCTGCGTATTTTAATGGGTAATTATTTATGTTTATGCCCCTACCCATTTTATAGATTTTTACCTGACTCATTATAGATCATTTTTGCAGATATTTTATGGAGATAAGTCAAATTGTTATTCATATTTCTATTTAATAAAAACAACATCTTCATGATACCTTATTTAGTTGTACCTAGAAAAAATTTTCATGATACCTTATTTAGTTGTACCTAGAAAAAATTAATTTTGATTGAATTGATTACATAAAATTGTTTTTGATTAAATTGAATTTAATATTTGATTTTGATTAAATTAATTATGTAAAGTTAATTCCGATTAAAATTGAGTTTGATGTTAAGCGAATTATATTTGAATACTCTTTCTCCTTCTATTTCATATTATAATCAGCTTTTAACTTTTTAGAATTATTAAACAATTTGCTTATAAAAAAAGTAAAATTTGTTTATAATATAATATTGAAGGAGTAACTTTTATTAAAAGTGTTTTTAGTAATTTAAGTGTTATAATCGGTTAACACGAGGGTATAACCGGCTACAACAAGGGAAATTTCACTTCTAAGTTGAAGAGACAGGGTAAATGTCGAAGTTGTAACTAATTAACATTTGTATGTAACTCGTTACAACTAAAAATGTTAGATGACGACAATGATATAGAATATGGTTGAATATATCACTAATTTCTAAACGAGGTCGGTGCTTAAAAGAAATTTGGTTTTTAAAATTTATACAGAAGCGGCCGAGGAACTAGGTCGTCTAAATGAACCGTTACTGAAAAGATTGGATATGTAATAAGCCAAGATGGAATATCGAATCCAGTGAGAAATCGAATCAATATTTTGAAAGCTAATCAATAAAATTAGAATCACTCAAGTTTGTACAATTTCCAATGGCTTGTAAAAATTAAACTCAATTTGATAAAAACGCAAATAGTTTGTGTGCGATCAATTCGTCGAACACTTGGTGTGCAAGATACCTCAAGTGAAATTCTCTAAGTAATGGTAGTGCATAATTTTTCCAATTACAATCAAAATGATTGTAATGAGTTTTCAAAACACTTTTCATCACTGCGCTACACCAGAATTTTTATCGAACAATTGATTGTGCACAAACGTTAATAATTCAAAAATAGAGAAATAGAGAAAGAGAGAACAACACCGAATTTGTTTAGGCAGTTCCCCTTTCGTCCTCGTTTAGGGTACATCTGCTCTTAATTCTAGAAATAGAATTGAGATATGTATTATCTTGTTGCAAAGTTTTATACAATGAGAAGCAATAGTCACCACACACTCAAGCTGAACTGTTGATGTTGATACTATGTCTTCTCCCCCCTTGATTCAAGTCAAATCAAGTGCCTCGAACGTGTTGAATAAACCTTCGATTCTAGCTACTCATTTGAACAATCCAACGTCTCCAAATCTTTAGCTCGGCTTATTTCAATCACACACAGTTCGAACTTAAATCTTTCTTCCATAATCCTCTGGTTACCGTTACTAGATTAAACGAATCACTCGTTCTACAATCACCTTCGCTCGGCTGAATCTGGGAAGAAATGATTTGTGCAAACCCCCCCCCCCCCCCCCAAACCTCAAGATTCTTAGAGGACAAAACCCTAACGATTTTATTCAAGAAAAACCCACCGAAATCTCAACCCAAACCCGATACAATATCCTATGTTTGGATGTTATCACCTCAATGATGCAAAATGATCAACAAAAATTGTTATGTGCAGTTGTTGAGAAAATGCAAGAAAGAGGATGAAAATGATGAGAAAAATTCAGTGTCAATATTTCACTTTTTTTATTGTGTATACAAATGATGATGCAAAATATATATATATATATGATGCTAAGACCAATTAACAACCATAACAGCAATTTGAAAATGAGACAGATCTGAAAAATAATGCATTTCGAGCGAATGGTCGACCTAAGAAAAGAGGGGGGTCGACCTGAGCACACCCGATTGCAGAATTATGCAAAAATTGAATCTTTGCATCGACCGGAATAGGTCCATGCATCGACACAAACTTGCCCAAAAATGACAAATGCAAATGCTAACAGTATGAGTCCACCGGAGGTCAACGCAAGCACACCTGAGAGCAAAAGCTTGAAATCCACATTACATGAGTAGACCTAAGCAGGGCTTTGAGTCGACTCAAGCACCTTAAACTCCCAAAAATGACTTTTTGCACATAGTTTGATCTACCTAAACAATACTTATGCATACCTAAGTCTCCTAACATGATCAAATATACATAAAACACATATGATGCTCTTCTATATGAATAGACTCGTGATTTTGAAATACTTTTGTGCACTAGAAAACTATGAATGCAGATTAAGACTCGATGCTACCGTCCAAATTACAAAGTACGAACTAGACACGTTTTGACATTATTAAAATAAGGAATGAGACACCTTTCCCTCACAGAAAGGAGATTTATTTTCATGTCAGCTGTAACCGGTTACAGGTTTAGTGTAGTCGATTATAGACCCGAGATTTTGTGTTTTTCAGTTATGTAATTGCATATTTTGAGTCTCAGTCACTTACTAACATTTGTATAAATATCTTTGAGGCATCCTCATCTTTAGTCAATGTTGAATAAAAAAAATATTCTCACATTCAAACCTGTCCATTATTGATGCAAAGAGTTACGACAAATGGTGCAAACAAATAAAAATGTTATTTGGCTACCAAGATGTTCTTGAAGTGATTAAGAACGAGGTGAATCCTTTTGTTGAAGGTGCAACAACTGCACAATAAGCAGCACATAAGGAATGGAAAAAGAAAGACTTGAATGTAAAAGTGCTTGAAGTTTATAAATGTGGAACACATGCATACATGTTTTCACTCATTTCTCAATTACGCAGATACTTTAAGTATATAGAAATTTGAGTACAATTGCCGACCCTTACATCATAATAAAGTGCCTCCTTATATACTAGTCTAAAAATAACTACCTACAACGGTCGACTAAATATATCACGACAAGTTTTACTCCCATGCAACTCTAGTTTTCGACGAACTTTCACGTGTCTTCGAGTAACCACCCGTTCTAATCTGATTCTCGCTCTTTCAATTAAGCCAAATAACTGTCCAAAACACTTAGAAATTCTACTAAGTCCAAAACTCCATAGATTCCTCGACCTTCAGCTACACACTTCAACCAACATTTATCAGACATGACCTTTGACATGCCTAAATCAAATTAACTTATGGCTTTTGATTGACCATATTCGACTTTAGCTTTCAACATGGAACGCTTATTTGTTTTACTTGCCAATTATAGTTAGGTCGAAAAATACAAGGTAACAAATTTCCCCCTAAAATTCCATGTTTCAATTTGAATCAGAAAAAAGAAACGTGGCATTTTTTATTGTATTTTTTGACACTGCTTTTACTTCTCCGCGGACATCATTTTCATTATTAGCAATTTTACGGCGCATTGTCATTTTCAATGGGATTTGTTTAGAATGTCATCATTATTCCTAGTTTATAGGAGGACATGGATGTGCAAGTATGTCTTAACTGCTTCATTCACTCAATGCTCCCACTTCATAACCCACAAAAATGTTTCAACATCTCCACAGGGATGTGATGTGTTCGACTTTAGGCATGCAACGGAAAAAGCTATAAATACCCAACTTCAGCTTCTTTCTCTTCTTCTTCATTTCAGCCTTTCTCGTAATATTTTTTGCATAGAGAAACCCTTCACTTTCTTCTGGTAAACTCTCATTTCCATTCATGGCATCCACTAGGATCTTAGCATCTAAGTTTGACACTGGAAAGAACCTGATAACCTTTACGATTCCACCAGGGGAGGTTAAACAAGGAAGAGATTTCATCCCTGAACATCCATTGTCAAGAGAAAAGATCTCCAACTGGGCAAAACAAATACTCATTCCTTTTCTATGTTTAACAAACTTTTTTATTTCTTTGGGCCCTATCCGACTGCAAAGTCACAAGCTGGGAAAGTTAAGAACTTTTTCTCAGGGTACCTAGTTACCATGCCTTCAGCGTTCGAAGAACTCTCCCTCGACTTGTTCTTTATGGACAAGCCTGCGCGTGTATTTCGATATACCCCACCAACTCCAAACAAGGAATACCTTGCATGGCTCGACAAAGTCCACCCCCAAAGGAAAAAAGAAATGGCAAGACTTAGGCATTTATGACATGGTCAAGATATCTAGAACTGACCCTAGGTATAACCCAGCCATGTTACTAGCATTGATCTTCTTCTGGGAGGGTTCGCCCAACAATTTCCAATTTCCTTGTGGCATGTTAATGGCAACCTTATTCGACGTTGCAACCATCAGAAGATTAAACCCTCTAGGCGACACCTTTACTCCAACCTTAGAAATTACCAACGAATTCACTATCGAACGATTCAATTTCAATAACTTCATCTTCAACAATCATGATAGAGAAAACGATGAAGTATTCGACCAGGAGCACATATCCTTCTTAACCCTTTTGCTTTCCTTCTACATTTTCTGCTCCAACTCTCTACAAGTAGCTAAGAAATTTGTACTTT